TCATTATATCATCTAATTCAAAATATAATAATTACTCAGCAGTAACTTTAAATGAATCAAATTAATCTTTCATTATATTATCTAATTCAAAATATAATAATTACTCATCAGTAACATTAAATGAATCAAATTAATCTTCCATAATATTATCAAATTCAAAATATAATAACTACTCATCAGCTACTCACTAACAACGATAACTGTCAAAAACATCTGACAATGAATAATCAACAGAAACAAATGCAACTCGATTACTTTCGGATCGCGAATAACATTGAAAATATTCGAGAAGAAATGTGCCGCTCTTAAAAAGAAGGATGTCGATGTGTAGAGAGCCAGCTGGCCAGCCAGAAGAACTGCAGCCATACGACGAGCCTCATGCCGTTCGGGTTCTTCTAACCACTCACAAACCTTTCAAATTTATCTGTTCTTCAACAAATTACAACAATACTAATAATGAAAACGATAAAAATTTCAACGACAACCATAGTGACATAATAATAGACATAACAAATTTGAAAATTTACTTGATTCAGTGATTTTTCGACCAATTCGACGGCGAATGTTTTCGATGTCTGTATGAGGTAAGCGATCGCTCTCGCAGACAATTTCATGCCAACTTCATCGCTGTTCGTCAGCGCTTTCAGCAGGTATTTCGCGAATCGCGGTATTCGCTTCTGTTCATCACCCGCATTCTCAACCAAACACACTGAAATAAATAAATTTGCTTTCGCCACATTTTCCACTCAAAAACTTAAGAACGATTACGAATAAAATACCGACTGGAAACTGTGATATGCAGCGACTTCATGTACAAAACAACTTAAAAATCCATTAATATCGTTACGAATTTTTCGAATTTGAGTTGTAATCGAAACGAATTTATCAACAGTCAATTCGAATATCAAACTCACCAATGAGCAATATTCCAGCCTTTTTATCATCATTGTCCGAACTCGAAATAAGCTCGTAGACGGCACTCTGAAATCTTATGCAATACACTAAATGTTAATGATGATTTTAATAATCATACTAATAATCGTTATTATAACAACGAATCACCTGATCAACTTTAGCATCGAAAGTTGAAATGAATTCGTTCACGTAATGAGCGTTGTGTTCACGAAGATCACTGTTTATGAAACTGAAATATTCACATGCAAATGTGCTCGGACAAATGAAACAGCTTAGCGTTTGGTGTATTAAAAGTGCAGTTTATTTTTAGATCAGTTGCAATATTCGATGTATATTGCAGTGAATCACCGATAGATCAGTGGTCAGAGTGCAGCATTATCATATCACAATTTATATTTGTATTAAATCATAAATTATTGTTACATCTTATATTGTATTAAACCATGTTCTAACATTTGTTGAATATTATATTATCATTATCATTCTTATTATTTGCTGATATTATCATTTCTGGTCCCTTGATATTATCATTT